AACTTGGATGATATGTTTCCCTCAAATTTGCAAGTTGAAGTACACATGGGGTTCTTCAGCAGACTCCTGATGCACCACCTTAAAATCAGGACAGGAAGGGCAATCTCTCTTCTTCTGCTATGCTCTAGTTTAAAGGTGTTTGTTTCTGCCTATGAACAAAAGAAAGGAACATTAATAAATAAGTTGAAAGGTAAATAGTACAACAGGGAGCCCACACAATCTCGCAGTGTGCATAACCGATTGTTATGGCTATAAATCACTTACTATGTATATAAATCGATGTTAAATAAACGCTGTCAACAGTGAACTCAAAATCCTTCAAAATCGCTCAAAAAACCGCTTTTGAGGCAAAAGGACGACAATACATATACACCAAAGGTAAGGTAATTCAACGTTTATTCATTTCGATTTATATACATAGTGAGTTATCGCTATAGGTCAAGCAAATGGTAAATCCAGTGTATTTACAATAAAATTAATAGCAATCAGTACACACATTGCGAGATTGTGTGGGTTCCCTGTGATAGTACTTGTGTATGTTATAAATACAGGTTAGTTTTGATTTAACCTGAATCTAATTTACTTTGAAGCTGTTTTTTACTACAGCAAAGGCATAACTGGCTTTTACTGGCCACATTGCAATTGAAGGAATACTCCATAGGACCCAGGAAATTTTTGTCAATCAAAGTTGAAAATTCCTTCAACAGACACATAATAACCACCAGGTCCTGGTAATTCAAATGTTGGATAAGCACTATCTATCCACCAGGCCCCAGTTGTTCAAATGCTGGATAGCGCCATCCACAGGATAATATTAGGGAAATCAAGTGCGGCAATATCCGGCAGAAGATAGTGTTATCCACATCTTGAACAACTAAGGCCCTGAGCACTGTAATACTGTGGTTATATGCAATATCCCAGCAGATTTGATTCATAATCATAAAATCAAGACAGTTAGCTCTCTCTTACTCAACACCCAAAGTGAGTCATTTTCTTTAAAATGGCCATCACATGGAGCTTAATACAAGTATATTTTTTGAAAAGCACCTTAAATTAGTGGCAGTGGTCATCATGGTGAGGTGGCCTTGAGTAAATGTATGGAATATCCAATTCCACTGGAATTAGAAAAAGTGGTCATTAGTAAAGAGGTAAATGTGAGTAAACATTTGTCTGTTATTATAAAAAGACAAAACTAAAAAAGAAGATAATTATTTAAAGATGTCATATTATACAATGGAACCTCTATTCAGGGGAAACCCTCGGGACCAAGGCAAGTGTAAAAATTAACCAACAAATAAAAATGTTTTCTTTTATCCTGCCTTGGAATCTACTGCAGTTATTATTTCAAGCAACTTATGTCTAAAAAATTATTATTAACTTACGCCTGCAATGTTGTGTGTTGAATTCTCACAAGTACAGTGCATTGATTTAAGTAAGGTAGTTAAAGTTTTGAAAGCTGTCGCAATCGTGACTAGTGAGCACGTAAATTTATTAACGTTTTTGAGGACAGTCACCTTTTGAATGACCCCCTGAATCCCCTGAATGGAGGTCAAATGCGGGTTTCGGGATCTAGGTAAAGTTTCCCTTTCCCCCGAATAGAGGTGTCCCTTCAATAGAGGTACACCTGTTACAACTACAAAGATTATGTGAAAATGTTTCTGGGACCAAATTTGGTGTCACCTGACTGGAGGTGTCCCTTGAATAGAGGTATCGCAAAGGAGAGGTTACACTGTAATAGTTAAAGATGATCATACTCACAGAAATGAATGACCATTGCAACACACCAGTCTGAGTTTCATCCTGTAAAACCAATAGTGGCAGTAAGGGTAAGTGTTTTTATTTACCATGGTAAATACCTTATTATGTAATTTACCACTTGGCCTTCAAGTTTTGGAAATGACTTAATTTGTCTTTTCTTTTTCAACAACCCACATGAGAAATGATCACAGAATGTACACTACAGAGTACTAATAATTACTAGTATGCTATCATTTTGCCTGTTATTACATATTGGTACATGTGTGTAACAAACTCCTATCAATAAGCAGACTACTGTAATGGGGGCTATAGCTCATTGAGCACCTGTATGCGGGGTACATTCAAAGTGGGAAATAACCTTTTGTGGTATAATAATTATCTTCGTATCTTAAAAGGTTTTCACTTCGCTTTTATCCTGGTGATACCATAAATTTTAGGCAAAACTATAAGACAACATTTTGCTTACTAACAACTACACTGTACTAACTATGGCATAATACTCTTCCAACAAAAAAATAATATTTTTTTTCCTGGAGCAGATGCATCAAAATAGGAGATATTTAATGAAGAGGTTCCTACATACAATGCAACAGTAAATTTTCTTTTATAAGTGGATGGTTCCAAAGTTCCTTCTCCAGTATAAAAAATGTCTTTTTGGTGCTTGAACCCTGACTAATGGCATCAAGAAAATCAGCTCGTAAAATTTTTTCTAGGTACCTTTTTCTTTCCCAAGCACTCTCCTCATTTCAAAATATTTTTCTTTTGCAACTGCTGTCATTTTCACTTTACTTAAAATAATTTATCTTTTAATCCTTGTTGAAGGTTGATGGTCTAAATTTTCTCTTCAGAAATTTATCAGGTATAAATAAGTGTATCTCCTCTTTGATGAGCAATTCAGACAAAAACTACTCAAAAGAAGTGCTGGTTAAATGCAACTAAATTGTGCATTACACAGCAACAGAATATTACTCTGCATCAACACGTATTTATACATGCAAAAGTCCTGGGCTTATAGTTCTCACTTACAAGCAGTTCAGAAGTACTACTTGAGTGAGCTACTGGTAAAAGGCGGCAAACACCACCCTACTCAGCAGCTGTTTACAGCAAAATAAGACCAGAACCTTGGCTTAGACAAAAACACAATTTTTAATTTGATGTTCATCAGTATTTCCCTGAATAAATCTTGCACTCACAATTAAGATAGTATATGCCATGAATTTTTAGATGCTGTGACAGAGTTTCATATGTGACACATACATGGACATGCTTTTTATTTCTCAATTTCTCTACTGCGATGTCACTGTTAAACTGGGCAGTTTAAGGAATGACGAATTTTGAAAATATGGACAGTTATGAGAGAGGTACTTTCACGGTTTCATAGCCAACAAAGAAACTGTAGAAAGAAATAAGAGATAAACTATTTTACCCCTCAGAGAGAGTCATAACAACTCTCACAACATGCTTTTCTTCTATTTGTCCTTTCCTCTTGAGTGCTGACATGATAAAATTATTGTTGCTTAAACTCAGTCAATTTACAGTCTGTAATGAAATAGTCAATATTCCTGTAGTCATGATAGATTTTCAATATATCGCACGTGGGCTGTTAAGAGGCCAACCTGCAGCTGCATATAAAATAAAGATACATATGTAAAGCTAGGTTGTCATTGAAAATATATTGTTTCCAATAATATATTAAGATAAAAACTGCACATAAATACAGGAGTTTAGAAACTAGCAAACTAGAACCGAACAAGTACAAATTGCCCGCCAAAACGCGCTTTATAATGCAAGTGGCGATGCTTTGTGCTTTGTCCGTTCTTTACGTCCGAGGATACTGGTACTTTTAGGATAAAGCAAAAAAGGTATATCCCTTTTACACTGATTCTGCTTAGCCCTTAAACTATTAGTAGCTCCTTCTTCAAGGAGATAAGCCTGCTGCAAAGGACAATATAGACATTATTTAAGCTCAGGCTATAATTGTCTGCGAGTGCTTACTTTGTAATTTCGAAGAATCTTCAAGACCAGTACTATCACGGAGCCATGTCTGTACGTCGTAAACACGAGTCTCTACCGCCACGGCTAATACTTAAGAGACGATTCCAATTGAAGAAATCAATATCGAGGCAAGAAAACATCGAGAAGAAGGTATAAACGGCTTATTTTTGCGCGCGCGTTTATCCAACGATGATTTGATCCAAGACTAGTGATTGGTTCAAGCGTTACACGTGATCACATGATCGAGACAAATGATTGGTTGAGCAAAACAAATGATGTATGAGATCAGCGTGACCATGTCACGGTGCTGCACAACAGGCGCTTTAGTTTTACGAAATGTGACTTTAATACAGCTGCAGCTGAAAAGATCCTGACAAAGTGTCAATAATGTTGCTGAACGAGCAGAGGTTGATGAAGAAGACGACACAGAAGATAATATAAATTGGATTGTAGCTTTGGTGTTGAATCAATATTGATAGTTGCCGCTTCATCGTAGCATAAGGATTTTGACAGCTAAACCGCTTGAGATATAGATCGGTCAGTACCCGATCATTGTAGCTTTTTATTTGCTCGATATTTGTGGTTTTGTGCCTTTCTTAATTTGCAACGCTGAAGCGAATCGGTAAACTTTGTGTTAGTATGTTTACTCAGTTGTCTGCTTCATAGCCAAGTGACTCGAAATAAGGTGTTAATTTTACTCACTATAAAGGGTAAAAGGATTTACCTTACTCAGCGAGTAAAGGCTTTACTCGCATGTTTTGATCATAGTCATTTTACTCAGAATAGTGAGTTGTTATAACTCTCTCTGAGGGGTAAAAAAGCTAACTCATATTGTGAGTAATTTTACTCGATAAAATGAGTAAAATGAGACACTTTACTCAAAATTGAGTTACGTTAACTCATTTGTAAAAATGCTTTTTTTACTGTGTTAGTTTTATTTAAAAGTGAATTACTCTACAATAATACTATGAGTCATATTTGATATGTTTCCATTAAGACCTCGACTATAAGTGTTTATTTGTATCTATGGCTTTCAATGACTAAGATGGAGACGAATTGAAACTAACTAATTGGGACAATTTAGTATAACTGCTTATATTTCAAACCGCACTGCCTTTCTTTCTGGAGTCTTAAAAATGTCACTATGAGTAACCTTGGACTACATTTAATATGATATTATTAAATCAATTTTAATTCAAGCAACAGAAAGATGTCTTATAGCTTAGTCAGCGCTGTACTTTTCCTTTTTAATCGCAAGCACACGAATCCTGTGGGCAATATGCTGGACAGTTGAGGTAGCACCAAGCGTCTGCATCGGATTCGCCCTGCCATGGCCCTATCGCATAGCAAACACCAGAGGTAGTTTGGGAAACGATAGGGGGAATTTCACTTTGGTCAACATATTCTCCACCTTCCAGAGCGTCTTTTACTGCATTTATTAACGGATACCTGAGATAAGAAATGTTTGATATTTTCATCAGATCTCCATAATAACCATTTTTGGGGGGACAAAGCTTTCCTTAATCAGTTTTTTGATATATAATTATCATCCCCCATGAAAAGGTAGCTTATTAGCGTTATATATTTTTAAATCCTTTAAACTCATATATCCCTAAACAGGGGGTTCATTAAGGTTTTGAACAGGAGGGCAACTGAGTTGCCCGTTGCCCGGCCCTTAATGAACCCCCTGCCTAAAGTTAAACTCAAATCTTGTTTTCCCAAATTTTCAGATAGGTGAATTTCACTAGGTCCTTAAAGGGAAGATATAAAGACTCTGTTGTTTAGACATTAAAAAGGTAAATAAAGTCTTAAGACTTGTTTCGTTTAATCAATATTTTAATTTCATACGAACCGGAGATGGAACGTTTCTCGTCTCATTTCTAGAATTTTTTGCCGATCTTGAGGTATCCAGATGCTGATTAACTCGACATAGTGTCTCTCTTGGGTACAACTTCGTTCTCTAAGAAGAGAGAGGCCTTGGAACGAGTTTGCTTTGAGTGTCCGAGAAAGCTTTTTAAACTCCTTTTTAGTTCAACGGAAGAGCAAACATTTTCCTGATGATCAAACCACTAGATTTTATTTTTCACTTTCTGCGTTATCAATTTTGTCGAGATTTTCTCATAGAAAATCTCCAATAACACCTAACTGCCATTTTCTTCTGAATTTGGTCAGTAGACTCGATTCCAAACTGAAGAAAGGCAATAAGTATGACCCCAAGAAAATAATTGGTGATAAGGGAAATATACCTTCCTTCACGGCAGAAAGTTCCCGTGAAGTCGTCCAGATCAAATGCCCAGAACATAGCGCCAAGCAGATTGTTTCCTTTAATAAGGGTATTAACTTTCAGTAACATGCTAGTCTGGTCATCATATCCAACCCACTGATCATCAAGATATCCATATGGAGCATCTACTTCTGTTTCTTCCACCACAGTCAACCCCATTGTACATATCTCAAAATAGGCGAAAAATCCAGTTGATCGAGTATAGGTACCAGCCTTTCCGGGACCGGTGCAAGGTGCTCCCAGTCGATGGTTGTTGGGGTCTGCTAAGGTAAATGTTCTTCCGTACAGTGCCATTCCCAAGGCGATTTTATTGTTTGGCATGCCCTGGGTGAGGAAAAGCGAAATATGTGGGGGTGCGTTCGAGCAACTCGCTCGCTACGCCAGGAATCTGATTAACATATTGTTCTTTATCTTAATCTTCTTACTCTTCTTCTCTACTCAATCCTCACTCACTTCTAACTAACTAGTTCAAGTATAGTAGCGGCTTTTCATAGCCAAAGCTGGACATTTTTGGGTTAGCTGACCGTGGGAAAATAAAGGTGAACTCGGTGTGGGTAATGTTTTGGTACGTATCACTGAACCCCCCTAATTGCGATCGTGGTAAGAAACTACAAACCAACATAAAACGCTGGCTAACAAGCCCAAATACGTCGTTCAACCACAGGCGCCCCAAGCTCACGTTACGAGTGTGTTATGTAAATAATTAACTTTGTCACAAGAGAGTTGGTGTCGCGCTACAACGGTGTGAAGTATGAAGAGAGTGACAGGGGTCAAACAATAACAATAAAAAAAACCCCAACTAAATCGATGAATTCACGCCAGAAAACTCAGGAATACATCAAAGGTAAGTCTCCTTTATTTATTTTATAGAAAATAAGTTAGAATAATGATATTTAGCGTTCGCAGACCTCAGTATTTTATTTCTCATACAAAGTCTCAACGGTTGCTTGTAACGCGACACCGACTCTCTTGTGAGAAAGTTAATTTACATAACACACTCGTAACGTGAGGTTGGGATGCCTGTGCTTCAGCGAGACTAATATAATGAAGCAAGGTCAACACTAACATGACAAACACGACCACCTATGAAAAGCTAACATCTGACAATGACAAGCGAAGAATATTCCTAATATGACACAAGGTCAGTAAATTCGCGAACTAAGCAAAAATTCAAGTGCAAGTGAAAACAAAAGATCAAAACAGGAAAACACCTATACTTGGAAAAATCAACCTTGACCAACTTAACGAAACAAAAACGAAACTTAAAAGAAAATAAAGATCTTAAAAATAACTTTTCAAATACTTCACAACAGTAATTAATATAAATTGTTGCTTCCGTCACATTTTAAAGTTCTACTGAAACAAACATTACGCTAATGATGGGATCTAAGACAAGATCAGTACATGTTTTCATGTTTTACGTTATTTATTTTGTTATTCTCTGTAAGTAAACATTGAATAAAAGACGTAAAACTCTACCTTAGATAGCCAATAGTCCACTGCGAATGTGACCGTCAGGTTACTTCCAGAGGGGTCCACTAGGGCAGTGTGATGACCGGTGATGCCATCCCATGCCAATATCCATGAAGATCATACGCCATTACGCTGACAAAATCTAGAATGTCAGCCAATTTGCTGATCTCATAAGCAGTTTCTATTACTTTTTTGCCGGCTGCCACTGCTGCAGTCAGCATCAACCGTGGTTTACCCGTTTGCCCTGATTCTTCAACGAATGCTACTAATGTCTCCTCACAAAGGGTTGTGAAGCGTTCTTTATCCTCTGGTGGTGAGCCACGGTTTGCAGGGTACTCCCAATCCAGGTCAAGTCCATCAAACTCATAATGCCTCAACAAACTAATCAAAATCAAGTTGCAGTCATTTCATGATCTGGAAGTATGGAAGGAAAAGCTCACCTCAAATTCGGCGAGAAAAAAAAAATTCCTTGCTGATTTAATTCCTCCTCGTTATGCACCTTAAGTTAAAAAACGCACTCCAGGGGACTGAAACGATGGGACTCCTGGTCATCATGTTGAGTGTGAGATGTGTTTATATTCCTTATGCGTTCCTTTATCACTCCAGACTGCCGGTTAGCTGATTACTTTTAAAACATCAGAAGAACGAATATTGGCTCTCACTCAGACCCAGGCCACGCCCTTTCAATATTTTGTAATCGTTAAACCCTCCCCCGAACCTAACCCTCCGCGATCACAGCTGAAAAAGGTCATTGTATAGTTGATTTTAACCCGGCCCTTTTAGGCCTTTTTACAAAACATGGTATTTGGTGAAATTTTTTCATGATGTAACCGGAAATTACGAACAAGTAACTATAGTTTCCATGTGGAGCACATGGAGCCTTTGTACACTCGTTGCAAAAAATGAAACCTTTAAACGGGTCTGATGAGAATTTTCCTTTTTCAAGCTGGGATGACATGACGGACCACGTAGTAAGTTTCTTACCTCATAACAGAGTTAATGAATACTTCTCTGTTACCACGCTTACTGACCATATCAGAAAACTTTTGGCTTCCAAAGTTCCAACCTCCAACGGACAAGAGCGTCTTAAGGGTCGGGTTCGTGTTCTTCAGATTATTGAAACGTTTATACATTTCTTTGTCGTTCCAATCGAATGGAATGATCTGGATTGACAAAAAAAAAAAGAGAAAATTGAAAGAAAGAAATCACATAAAACAAGTAAAGAATCAAGTAAACTGATTATGCCTGTTACAAGGTCTTCGATCCAACTGTTTTGATCCATTTCATCACTTGTTAACAAATCAGACACAGAAGTTCCCCTGAAACATCGATCAAGAAATAGTTGTTTAGAAATGAAAGAAAGCTAATTTGAACTACAGCAAACGCAATGTGCCAAATGATACAAGTGAATGGGAATGAAACAGAAATATTGTATTGGGGACAATCTTAAAAACAAATTCGGCAGGACGCTTTATTGCAGTCTATAAGGCCGAGTTCAGAGTTGAGTATTTAAGTTGAAAGCCTAAAATCTACAATAAGTATTAAACCGGTGGATATTTTTAAACCATTTTCTTAGTTGTGTCGTATAGTCCAAAGTCATGGTGGGAGTCTTCAAGTCGCGGCCGTGGAGAGAAGTTCAAGGGGACAGCCTGGTCGAAAGCATCGTTTTGAGTTTACTTCCGCACTTTTTCTTAAATATATAATTTATAGCCAAGACTTCATTCAATCAAAAAGTGACTCAGTTAGCTTGGAGTCCTAGGTTCAATAATTTTTTGAGAATTTTTGGATGATTTTTCTTTCGAATATTTTTAAAGTATAAGAATTTGTGATTGTGGGGAACGTTTAAAATTTTGGAAAATTGGACAATATTCGATTTGGGGTTGTTAAACTTAAAGTATGAAGTGAATAGTAGACAAGTACCAGATAGTCCACCAACACGACAAGGTGCCTCTGAGCGCATTAGCGGCCTAACTGGTATGTACATGTGTATACCTTATACTGCCCCCTTAAAATAGGTTACCTGGTGTTGATCGTTGATTACTGCGAAAGCGAAGACGACGTGGGTGCAAAGAAATGGATCCACGTTTTCTGGAAGGAATCTTCCAGCACCTGGACGATACTGGGCCCAACTGGTGTAGTAGCACACCCTGACGTACCCATGACTGGCTGATACGGTTATCATGACAACCAGCAACAAGGGTAAGGCTTGCATGATCTTTTGATTCCCTAATTTAAAAAAAGCATTAAGAGATATAGATTTGTGAAAATCTTTAGTTTCTTTAATCATGTAATTTTACAGCAAAAGACAGTTAGACCCACAATTTAGAAGCGAAACTTTTTTTAATGAATAAAAGCTACTAGCGCACGGGACCTCCGCGTTTGAAAAAAAAAATTGGTTATGAGGTACGTACTAGCAAAGAGGGACTAAGTAGACTCTGCAGGGGTGGGGACGGGGAAAACAAGACATGCAACTTGCGTTTGTCTTGGTGAAACGTTAACCAGTTGACTGAGAGGCAGCCACTGGCATTTTTCCAGTAGGGATCTTGAATTTCCATTGAATCCTCAACAAAAACAAAACTTTCAAAAGTTAGCTTGGTCACGTTTTTGGTTTCACGCTCAGGCACAATCTTGTCTCGGATAGGTCAAAGTTTTGACAGGTAAACTCTTGCGTAAAACTTATGCAGTATATTTAAATTTGTTTTCAAACAACTGAAACGTCGTGTACTTAGAAGTTTTAAACTCTTTGTGTTCTCTCAGTGCTGCCACAACATAAAATAAAGTCGCTATCAAGATTTTTTTGCTGTTCAAAGTTGGTTTGATATAGTTTGTTTATTCATTTGCGGTTAAGGAAAGGGTCGAATGATAAACGGGCGGATTCATACTAGATGACAGACAGCTACTTCCTATACATTCTCTGAAATGAAATCAAAACGATGTTCTCACAACTTGCAAAGCGATCAGCAAGAGTCTTGCCAGCGGATTTCTGTACTGATCATGCGCATTACGTCAAAAACCATAGATCAACGGTTTTGAGAAGGAACAAAAACATGGCGGTCCAAGGTGGGACTATTTCTCACTATTATATTTTGGTAATTCTCAAATTTATTGAATCTACGTCGCTCTTTAGATGTCCTCGCCTGGCAAAACTGAGCGATGTAACCTATATATCGATCGAGCGCGTTGATTTAACACGGTTGCAGTGACTGTCGCTTGCTAGACTGTTCACAGTGATGTCCCCTATTTTTCCTTCAGATAGTCGTGATATAGTGCGTCTTACCGTTAATGGCAGCCATCTTGATTTTCAAATATACCTAGGGGGCTGGCGTCGGGGATCCAGGATGGCAACCCGTAACGAATAGCGCTCGATCTCGACGATCTTACGCGAAAATAGGGGTCTGTGAACAGTCTAGTCGCGTGCGTTTTAGTTTCCCTCGCAGTTTTTAGTACTAAAGGACAAATACAATATGCAAGAAAAACAAAGAGGCATGATATTACTATATTTCTTTTTTCAATTTGTAATCATTTCCTCTGCCGGTTCGCTTGTTGCTTCTAAAATATTTACTGTGGGAAAAATACTGCAATTATCCGCTGACCACCACGCAAGGTGACCGCTTTGCAAGATGTGAGGGTCTCAATGGGGTGGTGGCTTTTACGGTTATCGGCTAAAATTTTGGCTCTTTTACGGCTATCGGTTAATTTTTTTCAGTTACGGTTAACGAAAAAGTTAAAAATTAACTTCTTTTGTTTCAAAGAGTTAAATATTAATCAACCTGTATTTTTTTGAATAAGGGTCTTCGGATCATCTCGGGATGAAATAAGCTATTCTTTTATAAAGTATTTCACTTCTAATATTATTTTACACATAGTAATGTCAATAGCCAATTGAAAAATTATCTTCGTGAAAAAGCAAAAGCAGACACACGAACGCCAAATCAAAGCCGGGGCGCGACATTCATTAAAACAGAAATGGCCGTTTTCACACTAGAGAAGGATTATTCGTGTGAGACGGGTTATCCGTTTGATGATTCGCGTCAGATAGGTAATATGTCTTAATTTGAAAATGGAATAGTTTTAATTTGGAATGAACAATCTGCCTGACTTTTGAAGACGGGATTATCCGTTCCAGATAGCCTGTGTACAGCCGCCCCCCCCTCAGAAAAAAATCGGAGAGGGGGTGTCTGTGGAGAGGACGCGACTAGACACAGGCTAGTCTCAGACGGATGATCCATTTCTAGCTATAGTGTCAAAAGGCCAATAACAAAATTCCCGTGTCCAGTGTTTTTAATGATAGCGAAGGACTACGGAACGATTGTCTGCCGTTGCCTTGTCCGTAGGCTGCATTATTCCGCACGGCTAATGCGTTTCGGGTCACGTGGTCCGAGCGAGTTCACCACCGAAATGCCTTGACCGAAACTGCGTGGGTAGACGCCGTACAGGGACTAGGCATGGCAATGTCTACCGTAGCGTCAGAGAAAAACAGGGAAATGTTGCTTATCGGCAACGAGTTTTACAAACAGTGACATCTCTGCGTGTTGTTTCACTAGTGTTTCGAGGGCACGACCTCCGGAAAATTGCAAATATTAATCCCCAGCAAGAAGCCACACTTTCTCTAGTTAGTTCCCAGAGAGAGCGCCGGAAATGGAGCCTAGGTCTAGGTTAACTCCTAAAAGGCGCTTCGCCTAACGTGCGTATGGAGTCACACTAGCCGGGAAATAAAAAACGCAACCATAAGTGAGTTTAGTACCTTCCTTAAAAGTAGCAAATCTAGGGAACACTTTCTTTTACGGTTAACTCTTTTTTACCCTAATTACGGCTAACGGTTAAAATTTTTCAATTTTTACGGCTATCGGCTAAATTTTTGGCCGTTTTACGCCTATCGGTTAACCCCATTGAGACCCTCAGATGTGGGCAAAACATCGTTCCTCGGTCCCATTCCTCGTCTCTTCCCCAGCGGGGAAAATCGCTGAGCCGTTCCAAATTGAAATAGGAGATCCTATTCAATTAAGAACCCAGACTGTTTACCGGTATAATTCAACGTTTTAGGTTCGGCTCATGAAATATTCGGCTTCTGAACCGAGCCTTAGTTTCTTGATGTAGTGGAGAATGTGTTCAACAATATTTCCTGAACAACAATGAAAATTCATCCCTACAATAAGCTCTCTCATAGGGTTGGCGCTAACGTTTCGGTATACGAAAAATTAATACATGATTCAATAAAGGTTTCTTTGGGCATTGTGCAATTTCGCTCTGGGAAGCTAATTTTGTTTGCCGGTCATTCAAGCAGTAACTCGCTACGGTGAGTTCCGTATGCCCGAATGCCTAATGAACAATTATCAAAGCAACCTTCACAGTATTGTAAATTTGACCAAATGGCCAAAGTCGTCAAGAAAAAAAAAATCGCTCACCTCCTCGATCGAGTAGCCTACTTCAAATTCTCCCTTTCACCATTAAATAAAACCATTAAGAGGAAGCATCGGGTTTACATTCAACAAAGGCGCAGATATAACCTTAAGGTAGCATGGTGAATCTTATGATTTTCCGTGTGAGGGTCTCGTGAAATATAGTCATGATTTTTCTCCCTCCCCAACTCCCCCCAAAAAAAAAAAAAAAAACAAAGAAAAAAACAGCAGGAAAACTCGATCTCAGACTTTTATGGATTGTTTGAAGGAGGTTTTGGATGACATTTCGTCAGCGAGTAGTTGCTCTCAAGTTATTTGCTCATATCTAAAATGTGGGCAAGTCCACAGCAACAAACCAATGAGAAAGTGCCGGATCTCCAAGTTGTTGACCTGGGTCAGTACAATTAAACTGCAAACTTATACTTACGGCAAAGCGATGAAGAAGTAAACAAAAGAATGCAAAAAAATATATATCTTTAAACAAATTGCCCAATAATGATGATGCAGTGAGAAAGGCTCGAGAAGCTCATTTAATACACAAAGGGAACACATTATTTCCTCTAGGAATGATTAGACGTGACAAAGCTCACTGATATATGATACCACCTAGTCTCCTGTACCAATAACAATCCATTGTTTTTATTGACACGTTTTCAAATTCTTAGTCGTAAGGAACTTTTAGATTTATTTCCATTTTTCTTTTAGCCCCTGAAGAAGATTTGCTTTCAAACCGAAATATTGGGCAATTGTTTAAATATACATATTTTTTGTTTACTTCTTCAGCGCCTTACCGCAAGGATCAGTTTGCCGTTTCATATTTTTATTTGCTCATACAAGCAAGGGCGAGGAGGCGGGAAATGGGGGTAGGGGTACGGGGGGGTTACGTTCAGTAGGGGTTTGGGGATAACGGGCTGGTTGGTGTAAAACATGTATACTGAACTATTCGTGGCAAGACATTAACCAAATAATCAAAAGTTAACTTCTTGTCACTTATTTGCTCACTTGAGAGCTGTCTTAACACGGCGGGAGAGGAAAGAAGAGGGTAAAATTTGTGTAAAAAGCATGACAATAATGCTGTTTAAAAGAAAAAAAAAACTTTCTGCCAAACTTCAGATATTTTTGTAAGAGAAGAGAAACATTAATGCTGAGTGAATAGCACGACAAAACATGCAAATAATAACCTGTCGGGAAAGAAACAGGTGATGCAGCTTAGGGACGGACCATTAGAAAAGTTATGGGGGGGGGGAATTTTCGAGCCGCAGGAATTTTTTTTCGTTGTCAAATTCCTTGTATGAATTTTTTTTAGGCCATAGCAGAAGCCCATAACCCTGGCCCTAGCAGGAATATTTCTTAGGGTTAATTGGCGTGCATGTAGTTAGATTTCGTGACGTTAGATTTCATAATAATGTAGACAAAGTCCGAGTATACTTACGATATAAAATGATGTAACTGCATGCATTTTCTTAGGCTAAATAACGGGAAAGAACGTGCGATTTCATGAAATAGTCACTTAATTTAGATTCATTACAATGGGAACTTCTACTGTACATGTGATTAATGTAAAAATACAGCCTTACGCAAGGATCGTAGAAAAACCTCTGTATATTTAGAATGTTTTAGTTGATCGTTGACCGTTGATCGTGGTTACGACCGTTGAATATGTGAGGATTGTACATCGCAGTAGATTGTTGGATTGGATTAAATCGTGTTGTTACATCGAAAGATACAGTCCTCTTGACTTGTTCGAACCAGCGGAGCATGGTTATAAGAATTCCACAACATAACCCTGTCGCGCTTGTCACACACAGGCCTTTTGCCATTCTCTTCTTTCTGCCGTCCTGTTCCTTGAATTCACCATTTACTCTGGCGTTGCTGCTTTTAAAATAGTGAAAAAAAAAGTTACAAAAAACAACAACAACAACAACAACAACTAGAAGAAAACTTTTGAAACCTGAACTTCATCTCGATTTTGAAAGAATTCTGGATGGACCTGCTGAAATTTAAGTTTATCTTTTAAAATTGAGGTCATTTTTTCTTTATTTTCTTCACGTTATTATTGCTTCTTTTGGTCTTGATTACTTTGTTTAGTAGGAAGCGAGATGATTTTTTGAAAACATAAAAGTCAGTCTTTCTGATCGCAGATGCGATATTGAAAGTTATTCATGTCATGTAATTTGAGCGGGAAATCTCGAAACTGAAAACAAAACCGGTTGGCAATGGGCCTTTAAGATAAAGACGGAAGTCAAATCAGCGAATCAGGGTAGCGACCAAAGCTTTATTGCTAACCACAGGCTAGAACTCAACATGTTATATTATGGCCGTGAACATTGTTATCTGAGCCCCGGAACCAAGGGAGATTTATTTCCAAGGAAGTTAAGGTGTTGAGACTCTACTTCACTAAATTTCTTTGGGTAAGTCTCTTATAATTAAAAGTTAACACGCGTTGGCTTGATAGAAATTGTAAGTTTAGTGGACTAACGCGCTTACTCCGTCTGGGAAGAGAACTTTAATTGCGATGTCGCGCATTATTTTTCACGTTAATAACAGAGCATGTCAAAATCGGTTTCTAAGCTTAAAACCTATGCCAAGGTAGACCAAAAAAAAACTAAAATTCTGTTGGGGTGGTCGGCGTACACGTTCCTCGAGCTCTGCATGTGACCTACACGCGCGAAGGGAGACACGCGATGCTTTAAAGCGCGAGAAACTAAGTACAAGGTTTGTTTCACGACATGTATGGAGCCTTACCCTTCGTATGTTTCACTTTGGGAATTTATGGGATATTGAACAAGTTCATATTATGGTCAATGAATAAGCCTTTCCAACTGAAAACTCGGCGTCTGAACTTCGCCTCGAATGCAGTCAGTGTTTAACGAACCATGCAAAGAGACTGGATTTAACTCGATGGATCAGAAGTCCTGAAAAGCCATTACTTGAAAAGTCAGTGAAACTCGACTAAGACAATGATTTTCGAAAAGAATCGAATGGTCCGAAGAGTTTGTCCCGGCGGTTTTCCGCGGAAATATGTTCCAAACGTAAATTCTTGTCCTGATACTTGATACTGAAGTGTTTCGCGGAAACTTTCTTTCTTGGAAATGAAAGTGAATTTGGTAAATTGAAAACGCTTATTTGGACCGACGTTTCCAAATCCTGAATTAATTCGCTTACCATGAATGTCCAAACCGTGATTTTAATAATTTCTCGTTCGATCAGCCGTTTTGTGGGTAATTTTTCTTTTATAAGTAAGGCCATGAATGAAAAAGATATGAATAATATTTATCAAAATGTAATACTTTCGCTCCTGCGTCCTTATGTTTAAATTCTTGCGTTACTTATATTCCCTTTCTTCCTAAAAATGACCGTCTGATGGCAGGCGAGGTATTATTAAATCAGAACGAGGAAAGTATGGCGCTGTTGGTTAGCATGGGCAGCCTTCTGTTTCGAATATGATCCTCGAGCATTATCTCAGGGGCACCCAACGAGAATATAGTTCAAAACCACTTAAACATAGCATTGTTGAACGTATTTCAGTATTTAAACGGTAGATATAGGCATATTTTTATCCCCCAAAATTTTTCATCTGTTCGGATTTCCTAGCTGAAAGTCTAGTGATCCGCGAAAATTATAGCGATCAAAACTTACCTTTTCAAAAATTTATAACCAGAAAAAAGGCTCCCGAAAATTCTATGTGACCTTTTTAAGGTAAAAATCCGTTAAAATGGGCAATTATACCATTTTTGGAAGGTTCGAAAACCTAGGAGAGGCATGCAAGCAAGAAATTTAACAAAAAATGTTCCGAAAATTCTAGATCTCAAATCGTCTTCCGAACAGATATTTTCCAAAAATTGTCGTTGGGTGCCCCTGAACAGTGTAACCACTGTAACCGGGGCTGGCAAAACAAAGCTGTCTAATCGGCTTTTCCGAGAAAGATTTTTTTGTTGTTGTTTCTTCAGCCAGTCTGCAGCAGATAATTTGAAAGAAAACAACAGTGAGTTGAACAATTGGCGATAACGATAGCAAGGTTTCCAAGAAAGCAAATTTATCGTATTAGCTCTTTTTTTTGGTCCGAATCTTCTGACCGAGAGAGGGATAAAATAAGCGCATCGTCAGCTTCAACGTTCAAAATACCCACGCATGCAGATCCTATTTCTTTTCATCTTTGACAATTTAAATGACAAAACTGAAGATTTAGAAACTGAAAGAAAAACTACAGTGCAGAATATCAGATGATCAAGGGGTCAAGGTTAGGACAACACCAGTAATAATTCTAGAGGTGTTGAACTAAAATATAACATTAAAACAGCTAAGACTGGCGGTCATTTTTTCCGTTCGACACGTGCAAATATTATAATCAATTATAGTTAGAAATCAGTAGTGGGGTAGTCTAGCTTGCAACAGGATAGTCTGAAGGATATACAGAGATCAATAAGTCAAACCACAAAAGGAAGTTAAGACAGAGAATCATGCAGAGTATAGGTTAAGCTGAAAGCGTCATTGGCTACTGAGTGGTAAACACGTGTTATCCGAGTCCCGTAACCAGCCAAGGGATTTTTCCCAACATTTGCTGCGAAAGCATTTGAAAAGGGCCTACGTGGCACTTGGCTCAAAGTCTAGAAGGCGTGCATTTGCAAAATTGAACGACAACAAGTTTATAAGGTATGTAATGCACACAATTTTGCTTACCTGTGATGCTCTCTTGCGGAAAATATTACCTGAAATGGATGCTCTGAATAGCTCTAGAACGCTCTGAGCAAAATATCAAGTTAAGTCAGTCGTTAACGCAATTTAAGACTATGATGAGAAATCGCCTTCTAATGGACTCTAACTGAAATTATAAGATCACAGAACACTGCTAGCATTGAACTCAGTAATAAATAGTTCCATCATTAGGTATTTAAGTAATGTAACCTCCTGTATTTTAATTTTTAGACACGCAGTACCCCCTTGCTTTGTTTTGTTTTATTTCATGTCATTCTATTTTGTTAAATATTTCACTGAAAAGCCCCGCGGGGACGTGAAATAAATGTATGTACGTATGGTATGTCTTACTGGATTTATGAAAACATGTTTTCAGTGGGTGTCTAAAGGTCCTATGTTAAGTGTGTCCTTGGTACCAAGACTTGGAACCTTCCCACCCAGGACAATGGGTGACTGCCTGCACCTCCCACTGAGCTCTGCAATTATCATGATAATCATTCTAAGCAGAGGCCTGGTTCAGCTGGCTAGGGCAAAACCAATGTACTCGCCAGTCAAAGCCTCCACTGAACACTGTTCCTTACTGAAGGGGTTGTGTCAAAACAGCCCCCTCCCTACCCCACTAGTTTTGACCCCAAGGCCTGATCCACCCACCCACTGTTAGGGCAGTCCCTGAGCTATCCAGCCGTACCGACCAAGACGTCAAGCCCCCTACTTTTTTGGACACCCGACTAGCAGCCCGGCGCCAGACGAAAACCTATAGTGGCCACGTTTTAACGAAATCAGACGTATGTATATGTGTAATCTCCTCAAATACCGTGATTCGTATACTGAATCCTTACCGCGAGAGTAGAAAGCTCTTGGATCTACCGAACTAAGACTTCGAAGTTAGACTTGAGAGTTATTGGATGGAAATCGCAAGCTTCAGTATGTCATACACAGCTTCCTCTCGGCCTCTTTAATCAGTTCCAAAAGTTAACTTTATTAGATATCTATCAAATTAATGATTTCTTGTGAGTGCACATTCTGTTTGATAAACTTAGAACAAAATCTCTTCCTGTGTATTTTAATGATTTTTGTACAGAAAATACTGAAGTCCACAACCACTGTACAAGGAAAAAAAATAATTTAGTCAAAAAGTTTATCAGGACAAATTAGAATAGAATAGAACTTTAATAGAATCATCCTCAATAGGTTTTTCAGACACTATTCACAAGATTTGCTCTAACAGTTGTCCTTTTATAGCTTGCTTGAAAGACTGCAAGGAAACGCATTACTTCATGTCATTATCTAAATTGTTTCAAATACTAGTTCCTCTATATGCAAATGTGCGTTGTTTAGAAGCAGTTCTATACAATGGTATATGTAATAAATCACGCTTGCGGGTGTGGCGAGCATAGATGCTGGAGCGTTTAAAAAATTTATCTACCAGATGTTTGGGTGCGAGGCCCTTGCAACATTTGTAAGGTAACACAAAGTCCCTATAATACATATAATTGTTGATAGGAAGCCAGTTAAGTTGGCGGAGTAAAGGGGTCACGTGGTCAAATTTCCTAGAATTCGTTACAATTCTGCTTGGTTTTTACGTGTTCATTCAACTAGAAATAAGAGTAATTAGTGTATGAAATTCCATCCCATGTAAGATAAAACCGTCTATTTCAATAAATATATTTAAGATAACGATCAAACAGTTTTTACTATCAGAATAACCATTGTAATCAAACCTTAGTTCTAGGTTGCTATTTTTGTATGCTTATTTGAAATAGTGTAATACAAGTTACATAAATTTTTGATAATCGAATGGCTGATACCAAATGTATTATAGAAATAATATTAAGGTCATTTAAAGGGGGACTACCCTTTAAAAGCCTGAGAGGGTTTCTGTAGTCCTCCTCCATTTGTTAATAATAATTAGTTTAATAACATTTATTGACCAAATTGGAAATAGACTCTATTGACAGATTGATTGAGAATCGCAATTCCGTGAGCTTTCCTAGTAATTATAGTCAATAACTACGTAAAACGGGAGGTTCCTCATTGGAAGTGAAGTGCGGCCCCTTGTACAAAGATCAAGGGGTTGGAACGGTAGTAAATATTATATTGTATCTCAGTTTAGGATATCACATGGTCTTCAAGGTTGTACGATTAAAAAAGGAGAGAGTCGTTGTCTCCCTCGCAGCCGTTTCTGTCTCTAGCATTGCGTGAAGAGAAACTTAACAAGGTTCAGCGTGTTTGAAACACTGCAGCAAGTTAAGGCTTGTTTGCTGCGCTCCGCGCTTCAGCCATTTTATACCACTGATGTATCAGCTACATTGGCTTTCGTTAAAGCAGCGCATTGATTTTAAGATTTTGTTATTTGCATTTAAGGCTATCCATTGTATAGCCCCTACATACATTCAGAACTTAGTTTCTTTGAAATCGCAAGGCACATAAAACCTCAGATCGTCAGCTGGGATTTTGCTAGCATCGTCAACATTTAGAACTAAGATCACACTAAGCGATAGGTCCTTCCAGGTGGCTGCGCCCAAGTTATGGAATGCTCTTCTGCGTGAGCTTCGCGATATCGCAAACTTGCATCCTTTTAAGAGCAATCTTAAGACGTATCTTTTTAAGTTTGCTTATGGTTGAATGAATTTTAATTGTTACATATCGATATTTTACATTTTTATGGCGGAAGTGTATATATTTTTATTGCTTTGCATATTGTAAATAGGTTTGTAGTTTGTAATGCGCATTTGATCATTTTTATGAATACCAGCGCAACATAAGTGATTAAATTATTATTATTATTATTATTATTATTATTATTAAAAATGAAAGAACATTGCCTCCCCCTCGCATCGTCACTTTAACGTTCGCTACTTTCCCAAAATACTTAACTTTACAACTGACATGACAAAACTCCTCGCACTCGCGTCCGACTCTCGACTGCCAGCCTCATACAAAATATTCACGAATGTCTACTGAACCAAGAGGTCGCAGATTCAAGAATGCTAAGAAACTCTTTAATAAATTTGTCGCCATTTCCTTTTAAAGAGTGTTCAGAAAGAATCATAGATTTTTACTTTCTGGTGCTCTCAACATTCTCGGAGGAAAAACTTTGGCCGCCATTACACAGTGCAATCATGTTGGATAGGGTGCTACCCGGTGGGGACTGGGGACTAGTAAAACAGCGAAACAAACTTCTAAACTACGAAATCGAGTTCTCAGACGCTTTCAAGACAAAAATAGGCAGCTGCCCTGTGCGGGCCGCAATGACCGCTTTCATTTTACAGAAAACAGGAAAACGGGAGCCCATCAAATTTGATTGGCTCCTGCAGAAAGCTACTTTGTTCAGTATAAGAAACGCAATAATTCGAAACCGACATTAGTTTTATACTGTACATGGCCATGGTCCGACACGAATACACCCAATGTCCTAATTTTTTTTTTTTTTCAGTTTTTCAGTTTTTTCATGCAATGGAAAATGATGATGATAATATATTGATGTTGTTTTTTATATATATATATATATATATATATTTATTTATTTATTTATTTTATTGTATAATTGGAAGGAAAAAGGTTTGTTTTCTTACGACTCCATTGCGAAAATGTTGGAAAATATATGAAAAAAAGTTTCGTATAATCGTACTATAATGCGTTGCATATGTAAAGTCAACGTAACAGTTTTTTTTTTATTACCCTAGTTGTCGTGTATCTTAAAACGGCGAAAGCAAGTTGAAGGGTTTTGGGCTGAACGATTTTTTAGAGCATTATACGCTCAGATATTAACTGCCAGTAAGCTAAAATTTATTTAGAGCAACTGTCTAGGCTCTTATAGTACAGAGTGCGCATGAAAGAAAATATTTCATACGTTATGGCGTTATTCCTACTCTCATTGCGGATATAATTTAGCGTATTAAATTCTGCAAGCAGAAGACTGCAATGCTAGCTTGCAATGCTTATCGTACTACGTGAAAATTAACTTTACACGACATTAACACGACACCGAAAGAACCCAAAACAGAGCGGGATTGTTGCCATAGACAGCTGTTTCGCAATTATTGTAGCTCATTAGTATGGCGTGACACACAGAGAAGCTCTGCTAGAAAAATAACCCGCACACTCTAATTTTTGACCTGGAACTTGTTGAAACTCCAACACCCACAGAATCACGCCAGATCACGTGTCGAATTTCTTTTGAGTACAGAAGCATGCATTTGGGCTTACAAATAAAATTTCAAAAAATGACCTCAGTGTGTTTATTATTTTGTTTATGTTCATTCATAAAAGTAGTTCAAAGAACGGTCGTAAGACAACGGTATCTAAATTCATTCACGCATTGCTTCAGCACCGACTATGTCGGCGAATTTAGCCTGTCTTTCAACTCGATTTCGAATTCCCCTGACAAATTTCGATTCGTGAGGCTAGTTAATTTCTTTTCAAAATCAGTCTTACCTGTCATTCTAAAGGAAATACAATCATTTTTTTTACTTCTACTTTCCGTTTATTGCATAAACTGTGACACGCTATTCAGAATAAGACCAAAAATGTTTTGCAATTTACCTTAAGACGGAGAACGGTTGACTCAGCGAAAGATAACTCAAAGGCACGATTTGTTTACGTGCGGACAGATGACAGCACACATCAACTCGGCACCGATGACTGACTCAACCGAAGCCAAATTGAAATGTTTTCTGTTTTGATTATATTATAAAAGAAATGGTACAACCATCGAGTTATGGATGCACTTCGGAGGTTTGCTAAGCACTCAAGAAGCTAGAGTTGCTCTCGCCCAAGTACATTAAGCATGGGTCAACAACTAGGTGTTTCCCGTAAAAATGAAGGGGATGGTTTATAATATGAATTGTTTATTATGAAGCACAAAATTCCAAAAAATATTACAAACCACAAAAAATTATACTTCACAACACACACAAATTAATGATCCAGGCCTCTTGGTGAAGTTTATAATAAATAAATAAATAAATAAATAAGTGTATTTTTTTTTCCATGCCTTTCCTTTAAAAAAATCTTGACATTGCCAAGCGTAGATATGACTTACCTTACCGCCTTGAAGAATTAATAAAACAAGAAAAAGTGTGCCCATTTAAGTTCAAAGCTTTTCTGGGCAAGGCGAGTCACGTGACATTATTTGCATATTTCGTGTAGGCCAAATAGACAAAAACTAGCGGTGTTTGTGTCTGACAAGTTTTCAACCTGCTACTGCTAGTGCATCGAAAGATAGACCACCCCTTCACTTTTCGACTTAATAACCGGGGACCCATGTCAACTTGGGAGGCTACTCCTCGAGTAAGTCTTACGCTTCTTTTCTGCATAGCAACCTTCCGCGCGCATTTCTTAATTCTACAAAAGGCATGTTTTTTTTTATTATGTCTCGATCTCACTTTATATCTCTGTCTTACAGCACCACTGTGGCATCAAGATGGCCGAAGGAAAGATCCCTCCAGAGGTCAAATTTCCCGGTGCGTCAAACTGGGAGCAGGCAATGTTGCTGATAAATGGCTTAAAAACTCTGGAGTATTATCTTGAACAGTGTTTTTTATCCGGTCGAAAGGAAATTACTATTCTTCTAAGTGGAAAAACGGGTGCCGGCAAGTCGCATTTGGTAAATGCTCTTATTGGCCAAAATCTTGCAAAAGAAGGCTATACCCTTGACCCAGAAACCTTTGAGGTAAGTTCTGAATTCGAACCAGAACTCTGAAAAAAGGATCGCGCTGGCACTAAAAGAGTCATGTGTTAAGTAATTATTACCGCCGCCGTCAGCACTAGTATGACGCGATTGTACGCTAAGTCAGCCAAAAAATACTACTAGTTTTTTGCTGGGTGTTACTAACCGGAGAGTTGAAAGTAATGTTTCCGCATCTCTCTGACATAACTGCGGCATGTCTTCTATACTCTTTACTTCGTCAGAGCCGAACGAACGTTATTTCACGTACTTTATTAATTTGCTTCACCTTCACTTTTCTGTCCCTAGATGTGGCGTTTGTAATGTGTTTTTTATTTCAGGTGACACCTTACCATTTTACCATGAACAACGTGCAAATTACAGTGTTTGACACTCCAGGACTGGCGGATGGTACCGGCAATGAGGAAGGGTATCTGCGAAAAATCAAGGAAGGGGTAACTGATCCTTGCGACATGTTCATTTTCTGCACAGAGATGAACAGCCGACGATTCCGTAATGACGACATTAAAACGGTGGAGATGTTGACGGCAACGTTTGGTGCTCAGCTATGGGAACACGCCGTCGTGGCTCTGACGTTTGCCAATGAAGTTCTTCACCCAAACAAGGACGCCACCCAAGAAGAGCGCTTAAGTCTCTTCAATGAGCGCATGCGATGTTTCAAGAAGACAATACAAGATGTCCTACTAAAAGTCGGGGTGGCCGAAAAAGTAGTCATCAATGTGCCATTTGTTGCAACTGGAGTCCTGTGCGAGCCATGTTTACCTGGCATTACCAACTGGCAGACGGCATTTTGGATCGCAACTTTCAAACGCCTTGACAAAAGTGCCAGGTTCCCTTTTCTTATTTTAAACAAGGATCGCTTAAAAATCTCTTCCGCTGAGCCGGACGTCCAAGCAAAAGAGCGTCCTCTTCGAAGGAGCCTGCCACCCCAAGAGGCAGAAGGGGCTCCACAGCGAAGGCAACGTAGAAGCTTTCATGGGTTCGAACTTGTGAACCGAGAGCAGGACAGCGGCTACGAGCCTGATAGTGACCCCGACACCGAATTTCGAACAAAAAGCCGCTCCTTGCCAGTAAAAACGTCCAAGATACCACCAAAAACAAAGCCTAAACCAAAGAAAGGAAAGATGCAACAGGATACCTCCACCATCGACATAGACGAAGCAGCTGCCGCTGAAGTGGTACTGGAATTTATAAGCGAGGTGGGTGAAGGAGCTAGCAGGTTAGCCGGAGAGTATATTCACCCAGGAGCTGGAGATGTATTCCAGACTGCATTTAGATGGATAATGAGACTACTAAAAAGATTATTTCAGCGAAATTCTTCCAAGGAAGATGCAAGAGATGAAGATGAAGATGAAGTCGATCAAGAAGCTGATTGACTTTCGCAGAAGAGAACTTTAGAGACCCGATAGCTGTATATTAGAGTCTATCACACATCCTGTCCGTCTTTGTTTTTGCTAAGACATGTATCCTAAAACCGAGGGATAACTCTCTTTCTTAAAACCGAGTCTGGTAAAAGTTTTTAAACATGCCAAATAGTAGCCTTACAAACGTTGGACAACTCTGTAGTTAGGACGGGTTTCTGTTGACTTCGTTATGCTAGCATTTTTCGAGTAATTTTTATGAGGCCAAAGCATAAAGTATACTGGATTTTTTTAATATAAAATATTAAAAAAAAATCAAGAAAACACAGGCTTAAAATTGAAAACGAAACAAATTCAATGCAAATCAAATACAGACGTTAAGGTAAGAAGACATATGTTGCTGTATTGAAACTATTAATAAAATTGTATGTTGTTAAAACCATCGTTTTGAATTAGTAAGACTCACTTTGAAAAGCATTATCTGATTATCTAAGGTTTGAGGCTTTTTGGGGGGGAGAACAGGCATTTTAGAGGGATCAGCTGGTCCGAGCGTTAAGTTGAAGCCGATGATTTTAGCGGTGAAACAAAATCATAATGCGTAAAAGCATAAGTTAGGAACAATAAAATCAAAATCAAAATGGAGAAAAAATAAACTAAAAAGAAACAAAAATAGATTACAGAAGATTTATGCAGGTTAGGTTTAAAAGAGTGATTGCCTAGAGTAAACTTGTAGCGATAACTTCCGGTAGAAGGTTAATCAAGTTGCTGTTTTTTCAGACTGCGAGTAGTCCCGCTCATTTTCCCTCAGGGATAGCAGAGCGCGGCGGAATGCGAGCCCGCGTAAAAATCCCCCCACGCGATAAAGGAGAGACGCGGCAGGCAAAGAGAAAAATGAGGGACTAAAAACAAGGCTAAAGCTTTGGACTTCATGCGTTGCTCTCACAACGCATAACTCTGATTTGGCTTTTTCATGGCAATCTTTAAAACGCGCCAGCCGCTGTCAACACTCGACATAATAACAATTTCTTTCAACGTTTTACAAACTTCAGGCATTTTTGTAAAAAAAAAAAAAAAATCCAAACATAACATCAATGAAACAAGAACAGTCTACACTGAGTATAAGCGGTGGAGGCTCTGTTGGCGGGGAAATTATGTACTTGCGATAATCCCAACCGGATTTGGGAAACGTTTAATCGAGCAAACATCTGCGAAAGCGAGCGTCCTCGTTATTTCTTCACTCAAAAGCATTGTGGAAGAACGGTCTTGGGATAACCTCGGTTCACTTTAAACCAAGCAGTGAGGATTATTTCAAAGATATCTCCAAAGGGAAGTTTCAAATGATTTTCGCTTCAGCTGAAAACTGCTTATGCAAGAAGTTTACAGAGATCCTGAAAGAAGCGGAACCCCACACGGAACTTAACATTTCTTTTGGTTGTCATCGGCGAATTTCACATGGTTGAGACATGGTAAATTTGTTGTTTTGAATTTACGTTTGTTCTGTTTGTTCTTACGCGTACGAGTGTTCCTATGAGATATTAGTGCTGCCTACTTATCGATCGATCTTTATTTATCGATGTCTAGCAGCAGTCTTGCATGCACGTCATGAATGACTGTGATTTTTTTTTTCTTGCAGGGGCACAGATCATAAGAAAGGAAAACTGTTTCTTTCTACCTTCAGAAAAGATTACGGTAACTTGGCAATGCTTCGATCACTTTGTAAATAAGGTAAGAGATCATCTAGTAATCAAAAGATTTAGACAGATTGCCATGGAACAGCCAATCAGAGTTATGCGTTGTGAGAGCAACTTACGTATGAAGTCCAAAGCTTGGGCTTTGTCTTTAGTCCCTCATTTTTCTCTCTCCCAGCCGCGTCTCACTTTTCTTGAGTTGGGTGAATTTCACGCGCACTCGCGTTTAGCTCGCTCGACTATCCCTGAGAGAAAATGAGAGACTACTGGCTGTCTACTGTTATTTTATTCCTAAATGTTAGTTTCTTATTTCTTAATTTTTGTTTGTTTGTTTTACGTTTCGAGATTTTGAGATTTTCGCTTTTCGAATAGAAAGAAAAATTCTTTATTATAGCACGTATACATGATTTTAGTAGCAATTTAAGGGACTCTTTGTGGAAGTAGAACTTATTAAATAATGAAAAGTTTCCAGTCATAGGTATTTCAAACGCAGGCGAAGCACTACAGCTACTTATCAGTTTATCAAACTTGTCAAGAACGCAAATCTAGCACAGATGATAAAAGATGAAGCTCTTTCCCCTTCAACTTTAAAGATCTTTTACACGTGAAGTCACCGTGGCTTAGCAATTATGTATCCAACAATGAAACAGCGGCCATGTAAGGGCCTGTTTGCATGACGGCAGCTGGTTTAGGCAACCGGCTTAAGACGGTTTTTCCTTTTTATATAATCTCTCATTTTAATTTGATCTTGTTTGATAGTTGTGGTGACCATATGAGAGATTAGCTGGGGTTCTTCACGTCCATGTAAACAGGTCCTTAGTATACCAAACAGTAATCCTCTTCGGAATGAAATCTTTTCTCGAGTGCAGTAGAAATATTTTTCATTGAGTGAACGCGATCTATCTCGCAGACTGCCCGTACTAGGGAGTTTAAGATACCACGAAGGCGATGGCGGCGAAATACGTTGCTTAAAAAACGAGAAATCGCGTTCGTTCCAACTCGCAGTTACTTTTATCAAATGCAAGAGAACTCTCTTCTGCAGTTCAATTCGTAAGAACAGCATCCTACTTCAGAAAGAGAAGGAGGAATTTCGTCGTCGCTTGTTTACGTCCTCCATAAAACGTGAAATTAGGTATTTTCACGTCGTAGTCGTTCAGTGATGGCAAAGAAATGAGCCCAAAAAAGTGTGCTGCAAGTGCAGAATTGTTGTTTTGTCGTCGCCGTCGTCCGCAGCGGAGCATGCTAGACGATTCAAGAATATTTGGTAAAGACGTCAGCGCACACGCACGCGTGCACGCTCATCCGCCGCTCGCACAGACTGTTGGCGTCGATTTTAAGTCGGAAAACCGTTGCAACATAACTAAATATGGTTATATGACTTGTGGATTCTAACAAGCTATAGCCGCAGTATAAAAGGTCCATTTATGTTAAGTTGGTAAAAGTTTCGGATGTATTTGTTGCTATTTTAGGAGGTCTAAGCCTCAAAGCTTAATATTTATTTCTTTATTTCTTCATGATCAGTATTTTATTCGTTCCAATAAAAGGTGTCTATAATCATCTTCTGAATGCAGACACCATGTGTCTGTATTAATAAAAGGGATCTCGACTCTTAGCTAAAATTTATGTATAGAGCAGAAATTCATTCCCATGCGATGCCGAAACCCGTCATGACGGACTATTATTACATTGTTGTTCGGTGACTTAAAATTTTGTTAAATGGCGGCTCCACCATCAGTTTGTTTTCGACGTTCGAACGCGTCGACAACGACCGTGTTTGCTAAAGTTCCTCTCTTGTTCCTTTTGAAGGCAACTTTGTCCTTAGGAGAATTGTTTAGATTCTACTAGTCAGAGTAGTAGATATTTTAATTATAATATAAATGCATAGCTAGAGTTGTTATTTTCGCTTTTTCGCTATTTAAAGAACTCTGTCTAAAATTAGCAATTTCGTGCTAAATACATGGACACTAAGAGGTATGCTGTGACCCAATTTCGACCTTTATTGCGTTATACTGAGTCATTACGTTAAGTGGTTATTCATGTCTTAGCATTGACGAGCCTCTAATTGCATCAAATATTTACAGTGCGCACTGCATGAAATTGGTTGTTAACATAATTAATCAATTACACCATGGCATACGACAGTCCATAAACCACAAACTGAAACAAGACCATGAAACAAGTTAATTATACTTACTATCCACACGTGAAAAACATAATTTGTTTCAGTTATTCACAGTGCTTTGATGACTTTGAAGCTTTTTGATAACCTTGTAATAAATTTGAGGTGTTTTTATCAACTATTTATCTCACTTGATGCTTTCCTTTGAATTTTGATTTTTCAAAATGTTCTCTTCAGCAGCTCGCGAAGTTTAGCTCTACCGGGCGTACATCTCATTATTATCATATACCGTACCTTCGTTTTCTCAAGTATTGCTACAGTTTAGGTCCAGTTATCTCAAGATTATCTGATATATTTATACAATGCTTAGTCATTCTATACTTTTCCTGTTTGAACTCTTCCTGAAGCAGTTGTTTTCAATATATGCTTATTCTTTGGAATTTCGGGACCTCCACTGCAACCTTAATGTTCGTGTTTTTTTTCAAGTAGCATATTTGGACCACCTTTGTCTTACTGATTAATTTTTTCAAGTTATTGACATTGGCAGGTTTAACTTCCACGCGTATTTTGTATATTGGTTAGGTAATATTTTGAAAATCCACGGTGTCTCCATTAACAATTGCGGAACTTACAACAGCAATTAAAGGAAACAACTTCAGTTATACATTGTATCTACACATTTATTCTTTATGTTCATATTTATAAATAAGCATATTCCTATAGTGGCATTGAGAAAATGGAAACACTTGATGCGCAGATATGCTTACATTCGAGCACAAATATCAATGATAAGTACGGTACTTAGAGGTTATGGGCGTAAGGCTATGTACTTCAATTTAATTCAAAGCACTCTGTAAAATCTCTTGACTTTGGGATTCTATTCATAGTTGTGGTCACCATAACCCCTTTTTTTTATTTAACGTAGACCCAATACGTATAAAACGTTAGCAAATGGTTAGATAATCCCATGTTTTGGCTTAACACACAGCTCCTGACAGTTATAGATATCTGATATCTGAAACCATTTTCTTTGAAACTTAAAGGAGACAAGCGTATTAAGCCCCGTACAAACGGACGTAACATTGTTGGCCAACAACTCCCAGCATTTTTGGATGTTACATGTTGCGCACGTTTGCTCACCTTGTTGCATGTTGTTGTGCGTTTTTGGGAGTTGCTCTGGAGAGCGGTCAAACTTTTAGCTACGTGCAGAAGAACACAACAACGCCCAACATTGTTGGGCCAACAATGTTGGCAAGGGAGTTGTAGAATTACAGACGCGTCCGTTTGTACGTTGCTTTAAATGGTCTGGTAATAAAAGAGAACAAAGTTCCCCCTACCCAATATCTGTATTTATTTATCCGTGAACACCACCCTTCTGGGCCAATAACGAGTAAATACAGCCTAACGACAGGCGAAGGTCAGCATGGGTGGTGCCAGTATAAGGTGCCCATATTTGATA